TGCGCCTGGGCTGTGCCCTTGGCCCTGCTGGCGGGGCTGTCCGTGCTGATCACGCTGGACGCGAGGGGAGGCGTCGGCATCGTCTCGCCGACCCCTGTCCTCGGGGGCAGCGATAGGGGGGGGGGATAGGCATAGGCTATAGGGGGGGACGCACCGACCCCCAGTCGCCCACGGATCGCCGATGTGGGCCCGGTAGCCCCACCCCGCCCAGGAAGGTGCGGATTCGCTATCGGGGGCCGATCGCCGATCTGTCTCGCCGATTCCAGCTCGATGCATCCCCCCCGATGCCTATCCCCACCGATCGTCGCCCCTCATATCCCCATCCCCATCCCCGTCCAGACCCCCACCATCTCAGCGCCGCAGTTGGGGATCTGTGCCCCTCGAAGCCCGAGGAGAACCGCCTATATCCCATCCAGGGAGGCAAGTCTTCCAGTGGGGCCCAGGACACGCCAGTGGGGATAGGGATCGGTGGAGCGATACTCGAGGCGGGCGCCTCCGCGCCGGGCTGGACTGCTACGTCGCCTGGACCGCGGCACACGCGCCTTGGTCCCTGGCCCTCTACGTGCTGACGTCCGTGCTCGCCCTCATGCTGGGCCTGCCGCTGGTGCTCCTCGTGGGGGGTGCCAGCGCCCTTTTCTCGGGTGCTGCTAGAGGTGCCCCTAGCTCAGGGTGCCCCCAGGATTTCCAAGGAGGCCCCCACGGCCTCCGACGCACCCCTCACGAGGCCCGAGGGGTCCCAGGGGCTCCAAGACGGCGCGACAAGCTGGTGGCACTTTGGGCCAAAAGGCACCTCTCTAGCAGCCCCCGATCTTCTCGGCCGCCTTCGGCTACGCGGCCGGGGTGGTGCTCGGCACGGCAGCCATGAGCTTCGCGGACCTCTGTGCGGGGTCAGTCTCGCTGCTCCTCGGGCGGTCGCTGCTGCGGGGCCCCATGGAGCGGAAGCTGCGGGGCGACGACCGCTTCCGCGCGGTGCGGGCCGTCCACGGGCTGATCCGGTCGCGGGGCGTGGAGATGACGCTGGTGGTCGGGCGGGGCTAGGACGAGGCTAGATCCGTTCCAGAGCGTTCCTGAACGGTCCAGAAACGCTCTAAGAAGGTCGCGGCGCCCGAGACATCCTCCAGAGCTGCGAGGTCTCAAAGCTCCTCGATGTACCCTTGCCCGATGTTGTCCTCGTCCTGGCTTCCTCTCAGGTGGTCAAGCTGGCGCCCCTGCCGACGGGCCTGCTGTCCTATGTCCTCGGCTGCACGCCAGTGTCGGTCGGGGATTTCCTGCTCGGCAGCGCCATCCCCTCCGTCCCGTACGTGGCGCTCATCTGCTTCGTGGGCTCCTCGGCGATGCACTTCGACGACTTCCGCCGGGCCCTCCTCTCGGGGGTTGCGAAAGGTGCCCCTGGCCCAAGGTGCCCCCAGCTTTCCGCTCCGTTCTGGAGCCCCCTGGGGCCCTCTGGGCCTCGTGAAGGGTGCTCTGGAGGCCGTGGGGGCCTCCTTGGAAATCCTGGGGGCACCTTGGGCCAGGGGCACTTCTAGCAACACCCGATCCTCGGCTCCCCGCTCGCGGCCGCGTCCACGTGCGCGGCGGCGCTGGGCCTCGGCGCCGCGGCGGCGGCCCTGCTGGCGCGGATGCGCCGGCAGTACCTGGAGCTGCTGGCGCAGGAGTCGACCACGCGCAGAGGGGGCGTGAGGGGAGGGGGGAGGAGGGGGAGGAGGAGGAGGAGGAGGAGGAGGAGGAGGAGGAGGAGGAGGAGGAGGAGGAGGAGGAGGAGGAGGAGGAGGAGGAGGAGGAGGGGAGGGGGAGGGCTCCGTAGGAGCGCCCCCGCTCATTAGAAGGCGCGGGGGCCTTCTCTGCAGATGCAGGGCCGCCGCCTTCTGAGAAGCAGCCTCCTCCTAAGAAGCCCTCCCACCCTCCCTCCGCCCCCTTCTCGGCCCCAGGGGATGTCCCAATGTTTGAGCAGAGAATGGCGGCCCTTCTCCAGAGAGTTCGGGAGAAGGAGACAAGGAGATCTGGCTATAGTCGTCCTGATCTGTTCAGGTCTTGGTGCTCTGCACTTCCCCTTTCTGGGCATTCCGAGCCGACCCGATCCGCCCCCGTGTGCGCGCCGCCAGAGGAGGACGGCGCTGCCCCCGAGGAGCACGGCCCCCTGCGGGAGGAGCTGGCGGGCGTGGACGGCGGCTCCGGCGCCCGGGGAGGGGAGCGCAGCACGTGAGGCAGGTCCGCCCTCCGACGGCGGCGGTCGCCGCTGCCTTTTTTGGTCCAGGGTCGCAGAGGCCCAGGAGCAGCTCTCCCCCCTCCTCCCTCCTCCTCCTGCTCCTCCTCGTCCTCCTCGTCTTCCTCCTCCTCCTCCTCCTCCTCCTCCTCCTCCTCCTCCTCCTCCTCCTCCTCCTCCTCCTCCTCCTCCTCCTCCTCCTCCTCCTCCATTCCTTTCCTTATAAATAATAGTTTCCCTGTCGCACCCCGAGGTAAGTTTTTAGGGCGGGCCCGTCGTTTTGCTTGAGACCTCCTCACCATTTATGACCGTGAAGCTTTAAAAGTTATAGAATTCTCACAGATGGAGGGCGGGCCGGTTTCAAAATGTGGCTCTCGCCTGAGCGGCACGCACATCGTTTTTGAATATTACAAGAGTGTCATTGACTGAGGGCGGGCCGTTTTCAAAATGTGGCTCTCTCTCTTGAGCGTCGATCACATTCGTTTTCAAAATGTGCAAGAGTTTCACGGATTGAGGGCGTGTCGTGTTCAAAATGTGGCTCTCTCTTGAGCGCCGCGCACACTCGTTTGCAACATGTGCCAGAGTTTCACGGATTGAGGGCGGGTCGTTTTCAAAATGTGGCTCTCGCCTGAGCGCCGCGCACACTCGTTTGCAACAGTTGCCAGAGTTTCACGGATTGAGGGCGTGCCGTGTTCAAAATGTGTTTCTCGCCTGAGCGCCGCGCACATGTCTTGAAACGTGTGCAGGGTTTTAACAAATTGAAGGCGTGTCGTGTTCAAAATGTGGTTCTCGCCTGAGCGCCGCGTACACTCGTAGTACTATGTCGGGCGTGTCCCCCCCGACAGGGGGATGTTCGATGAAAAAATCGAAAATATTCCAAAAATACCCCGAAAGGGTCAAAACAAACTTCATGTTTGGACTATGTTTTGATTATTTGTGGTGTATGTTTTATTTTTCGTCGAGAATCCCCCTGTAGGGGGACAGGCCCGACTGAATCGTAGCACAAGTTTGCAATTTTCTCACACATGGAGGGATGGAGGGCTTGAGGGCGGGTCGTGTTCGAGATGTGGCTCTCGCCGTCGCGCCGCGCACGCTTGTTTAAGACAGTTGCACGAGTCTTGCGTGTTCCCATGGCCAGCGCACTAGAAACTGCATTCGGGAAGGATTCGCGATTATGAGGGTGCAACAGTTACACTGATTCGCGGTGTTGATGTCCCAGGAATGGCGTTCTGGCTCGACTCAGGATCGTCGAGACGCAACAGTCAGGTTGGTCGGTGGCGTTGTAATCCCGAGAGCAATGTTTTGGCATGCTTCAGGGTATTCAAACGGTTGTCTTCCAACGAGGCAGTTCCCTCAGTGGAAATGAACCGTTGTAGGGGCCTATGAAGAGGGCGCTTGGAGGTAGGATTTCAGTATCCCAGCATCGTTGATGGTTTTTGGGTTTACGCTGGCCCTCCTCCTCCTCCACATCCTCCACCGCCTCCTCCTGCTCATCCTCATCATCTGCCTCTTGATCCCCCGCTAGTGTTAATGACGTGCCGTCTGTGGACTGCTCAGGCCGCAGGCCTGAGAGTCTTGCACGCACGTCTCCGCGCGCCTGTCCGCGTCTTGCGTGGCCAAGCCACCGCAGGAGCCAGCTTGGACGCCCGGCTGTGACACCGTTGAGCTTCTTTCTGGCACGTGAACCTCAAGCATGAGGTCTCAGGGGCCCATCGGAAGTGAAAATCGAGAGGGTACAAGTCATAGCCTCCCCTTCGGTTTTCCCTGAGGGGACTCCAGGGGCACTTGGAGCCATCTTGGGACCGTCTTGGGGCCTCTCGGAGGTATGCCGGAGGCTACCATAATTAATTGGCTGCCATATTAGGTCCTATTGGAGGGAGCCTCCTCCCGAAAAGTTGTGCCAGCGTGTCTTGACCAACTTGCTGTAAAGCTGGCCCAGCTTCTCGAGCACGTTCGCCCTCAAGCAACAATAGAAACTGGGCCAGGTTTGTTCTGAGAAACTGGCAGGAAGCTGGCCCAGATTTCTGAGATGACAGTTTGTTTGATCAGATTTTCGGTTATAGGAGAGAGGTCTTGGAAGAGGGAAGAGAAACCTCGTCTACCCACCTCCGCCCAGAAGGCTGGTGGGACTCGCAACTCGCTGGTGGCTCTGTGAGCGGCCTTGATGCTCTTCTCGAGAAGGCCGACGACCCGATGAGCTCTCTTGCCGAGGCAGACGAAGGGCCCTCCTCGGTGAGACGGCCCGATGCGGTCCGCAGCCTGGCACTGGAAGAGCACCTGTCCCCCAGGGTACCCGCCTCCATGTTGGCGCACCCCGTCACGTTTCGTGGCCCACCGGGGAGCTTCACCGGAGGCCCCATGCTCAGGCTTCGCATGCGATACCCACCGCCTCCGTTTCAGCACCTGCCCCACACGCGTCGTGGCCCCGCAGGCGGCTCCATCGAGGGCCTTAGCGGCGGGGTTCGCGTGAGGTCGCCTCCGATTGTGTTGCATGGTGTTGCAACGAAGTGTATTGCACGCGGAAATCCGGCAACACATGTGCGCCCAGAAGTGTATTACACGCCCCAGATCGACAGCAACCCCACAAACCTGCTGCACCAAAACAAGCTCCTGCACCACCCCCTCTTCGCTGGACCCCCTCTTGGGCCAACCAGGACAGCATCGAGACGTCGCCCGTCTGGGCTCCTCCCTGCTCCCTCCCCCTCCTCCTCCTCCTCCTCCTCCTCCTCCTCCTCCTCCTCCTCCTCCTCCTCCTCGTCCCCGTGGTGCTCCTCGCCGTCGCCCTGCGCCTCCGGAGGCCGACGGCTCCTACGCCGCCGAGGGCGCCCTGGACCTCTTCCCCAAGACGCCCGAGGAGCTCTGCGGCATCATGGAGATGGCGCAGTCCAGGCGGCCGACCGCCCCCCTCCTTTGGGCGCGGCCGGGCGAGGGCCAGAAGTAAGTCGGGCCTGTCCCTCACAGTGGGAATATTGAAAAATAGTCACAAAAAAAAGCTTGGGGAAAGCCTGGGGACGATTTGTTTTACTATCTTGGGGTATGTTTGAATATTTTTGGGGTATGTTTTAATTTTCGTCCAAAACCCGCCTTTAGGGGGACAAGCCGGGCGAGGGCCAGAAGTAAGTCGTCGGCAGCCTCGAGACGGGGGTCAATGCAACCGGGGGTCGGCCACAGCGCTCGATCTTGCAGGATCCTGCAGGGCCAGGGTCGCATTGACCCGGGTTTGGGTGCAGGATCTTGCAGGATCCTTCGCATTGACCCGGGTTTGGGTGCAGGATCTTGTAGGATCCTGCAGGATTCTGCAAGGCCTGACTGACCCGGGTCTGAATTGACCCGGGTCAGAAGATCCCCGAAGTCGGGCTTGACCCTCACAGTGGGAATATTGAAAAATATTCAAAAAATAGCCTGGGGGCGATTTGTTTTACTATCTTGGGGTATGTTTGAACATTTTTGGGGCATTTTTTGTATTTTTCGTCCAGAACCCGCCTGTGGGGGGACAGGCCCGACCCAGGGCCAGAAGCGGCGCCTCCTGGCCACTCGGTGATGGCACCCCTGGGACCTCGGAGCCCCCGGCCACGCAGCTCAGATTGACGCACGGTGCAGCACGCAGCGACAGCGAGGGGCTTCGAAGCTGCAGAGATCGAGGGAGGGAGGGAGGGAGGAAGCTGAGCAGTTGGTCGACTGGTGTGTCGGGTTGCGGTGTCGAGGAGGTGGAGGTACTTTCGTGTGGGCCATCCTTCGCGGGCGTCTTCATTGGCCGAGGGTCCAGAAAGGAGCCTCTGGCCCCCTCCGTTGGCAGCTGACGCCGCAGTGTGAGAGCGCAAGAACATGAGAACGAGGCCCACGGCGGGGGCCGTGGCGTGGGGCCAGTGGGGGGGGGCGGCCGAGCAAGGAAGAGTGACCGAGGGGGGGGCAGGGGGGGCGAGTGCAGCGGGCGCCCTCCTCTCCCGTCGGTGCTGAGCACGACCCGCGCCGGCCAAGCTGCAACACTGCAAGAGGCGCAGCGCGTGGTGTCCAAGAGTTGGGCGCGCGGGCCAGCAGACGTTCTTGTCACTCCTGCCTTCGTTCGTTCGAAGACTCTGTCAGTCTGGCTCCTCCGCTCCTCCTGCCTCAGTGTCACGACTGGCTCTGCCGCCAAGTATATATATATATATATATGTGACATTGGTTTGCTAACGGTCGTAGCCAGAAGCGTTGACATGCCGTCCTCGCAGTTTGCATTATGCATGCCGTACCCTGGCACATCTCATCTACTTCACTCTCACTACTGCTCCAATTGTCACTTTTGGTTTCTGCTAGCATGGTTGACAATGCGATTGCTCGTTTGTTTCGTATTATGTGTACAAAGTATTGAACATCTCATCAGCATTCAGATTTGCATGAGTATCGAGCTGTCTGTGGCTGATCCGCCACCCAGTTTGTGGGGCGATTCTTTGTGTTTCATACCCGGCTCCTTAAGGGTGGAGTGGGGCACAATTTGGGAGCCTCTTATGTAAGTGTTTTGAGGCCGTCGTACGGTCTCTCGGGTCATGTTCGGGACCTGTGGGCCATCTGGAGGCATCGTCGGCATACGATGTCTTGAGGTCATCGTCAGACAGGCCCCAGCGGCCGGGTCCGCATGGCGCTTGCGCATCCGATTCGGCTCACCCAGCACACGCGCCGTGACCTCATGGGAGCTCCATCCACTGCCCGAGTGACAGGGTCCGCATGGCGCACCCGCTCCACGTCGGCACACCCCTCACTCGTCCCCCCCTTCTTGAGGTCGGGCGTGTCCCCCTACAGGCGCATTTTGGACGAAACATAAAAGATACCCCACAAATCTTCAAACATAGTCCAACATCGTGACTCTTTTTCACTATGTTTGAATATTTCTCCTGTAGAGGGACAGGCCCGACCTAATGCTTCTTCTCACCTGCCTCGCGGTATGCGCAGCTTCATATGGTTGGGCCCGTCGCCCGGATACTTCCTATGAGCGCGTAGCAGGGCCCAGGGGGGCGAGGCCTACCTGGGCCAGCGTGCCGCGTTGTTCTTCCGGGTCCGCTGTGGAGCGCGGCGCTTGATTGGGTCCACGTGCCGCGACGCTCCGTTGGACATTTACGAGGAGAGGAGGGGAGAACAGAGGAGAGGAGAGGAGAGGAGAGTTGATCCAGGCCTCCTAGATGGGGTCGGAGTAAATCGGGTCGGAGGATCGCGCCGCATCGCCAATGCATCGGCGATGCATCGGCAATGTGGCTCGATGCGGAGCCCGATTTGCTTCACGTCGACGTCGTGGATGTATCGCCGACGTCGCCAGTGCATGGCCGATGCATCGCCGATGCATCGCCGATGTATCGGCGATGCGGCGAGATCCTCCGACGCCATCTACTCGGACCCCATCTAGGAGGCCTCTAGTTGAGGACAGGACGCAACCATGAAGGAGGAGGAGGAGGAGGAGACACGAGGAGTAGGGATGGAGGATCAGGGGGAGGACAAGAAGAAGGAGGAGCAGCAAATGCTCGATTCAGAACGAGGGCCCAAACCAGAGGAGGGGGAACAAATCCCGAACCTATCGTGCAGTCCTGTTCGTTTCCTTCTCAGGGGCCTCCCAGGGGGACTCTTGAGGCTTCTAAGGAACATATTGGAGGCAGTTGAGTTGGGGACTTTTCGGGCCGTCTCGGATCGCACAGAACCGTCCGAAAACAAAGCATGGGGATCTGTAGCATATGTTGTTGTCTCGAGGCGTTGTTGTAGCCATCTTGGGCCTTCGGGCAGGATATTGGGTTGGTCGCGGGCCATCCTGTTGGATCTTTCTGGCGGTCTTGGGCCATCTTGGGCAGTCTTGAATCGCTTTGAGCATCTTGCTCGAGGGGGTGCATTACGGCCTGAGGGTTCTCGAGGTAATCATGAGTTGAGCACATAACAAGCAAGAGCGATTTGAATACGTTCCATGTGTTCAGGTATCTTGGGTATTCTTGGCGGCATCCGAGGTGCTTCATACGGCACCCTCGGGGAGTATTGGACACTTCCCGCCCGTGTTTGGGATTTGAGGTGGCCCTAGGGAGTCTCAGACCGTCTGAGACCTTGACTTGGGTCTACTGGATGGTTGTCTTGGAGCCTGACAGCAATGTTTGGGGAGACGATGCACACAAGCAGAAGTACGCAAGTGGCAATTACCAGAGGCAGCATATCGTTCTGTATCGTGCCAGAGGGCACGGTGGAGGATTCGTGCCCTTACTCGTACTACACGCCTCGTCCAAAATAAACAGAAGACGTCTGAATTCAGTGATTGTGGGGTCAGCGTTACTCCATTGCTGACGGATGCCTGTTGACTCGGACGCGGCGTTGTCCAAAAACCGACCCCACCCTTTCAGCGTTGAAGAACGCGTTTTCTGACAAGTGCCCGGAAGCATCGTGCTCCAGGGCTTCAATTTCCATTTCTGGATATGTTTGACGAGGCTAGCAAAAGTTATTGCCAGTATCCTCCGGCATGCTATCATACAGCTGCCTGCGGCAAGCCCCGTCACCGTGACACCCCAGCAGCATTCTGGGTGTCGATTGTTCGAGGGGCACGGGAGGCCGTCACGTGTGACACGTCGTGTCCCCAGGCTTGGGGGAGCCGTGATGATGATGATGATGATGATGATGATGATGATGATGATGATGATGGTGTTATTGATGGTGGTTATAATGATGTTGTTGATGGTGATGTTGACGAAGTTGGTGATAAGTATGATGACGTTGCTGATGAGGATGATTACGATGATGGATATGATGATGATGATGATGATGATGATGATGATGATGATGATGATGATGATGATGATGATGGCACTTGTGATGGTGGTGGCGATGGCGATGGTAGTGACGATGATGGTGAGTATGATGATAATGATGATGGTGATGGTGATGGTGATGGTGATGGTGGTGGTGATGTTCCATGATGGTGGTAATGATGGTGATGATGATGCTGATTACGATGATGATCATGATTATGAGGGTGATGATGATTATGATGTTGATTCTTGTTATTCTAGGGATGGTGATGATGATGGTGGTGATGATGCTGATGATGTTTATGAAGCCGGTAGTGGTGATGATGATGATGATGACGTTGACGATGACGAGGAGGATGAGGAGGAGGAACACGACGATGAGGATGATGATGAGGATGATGTGAAGGAGGAGCAGGAGGAAGAAGAGGAAGAGGACGGCCGTCACATGTGACACCTCCCGTCTTCATGGCACTCGGTTGGGCCGTCTTGTGGCTGCCTTGGCTTCCTGTGTGGCAGTCTTGGGCGGCCCCTGGAGGCCCTCTTGGACCGTTTTGGGCCCTCTTTGACCCTTCTTGGGGCCGTCTTGGATTCCTCTTGGGCAGTCGTGGGCGCCTCTTGGGCAATCTTGGAGCCCTCTTGGGCCGTCTTAGGACCCTCTTGTGGGCCTGCTCGGCCGTCTTAGTGTTCTCTTGGGGGCCCCGTGGCCCGTCTTGGGGCGTCGGAAGCTCGAAAAGGCGTGAACCCCAGAAACATTGAAACACCTTAGGAAGGCTCTTGGGGATCTCTTGAGACGTCTCGAAGGCCTCGTGGGCCGTCTTGAGGCCGTCTCGGGCCAGCTTGAGGTCACAGTGGGCCGTCTTGGAGACATTGGGCCGCCGTGGAGGCATCTTGGCTTCGGGAGCTCGGATCTGCCATATGTTAAAATGGAGTGTGGCCTCGGGAGTACGATTCTGTCGTCTGTTGCGAGGGGTTCTGGCCTCGGGGCAGGGGGGTGATGAATGCGGGCCAGTCTGACTGGAGGGAGGGATCCTAAAGGTTTACAGCAATCCAGAAACCCTACCGCACTGCACGTGGCATTTGGTCAGACTGGCTGTATCCCTTTCTTGCTATATGCGCTTCCCCATCGCCCATTCCCCTATGCTTACTTCTCCTCGCAGTTTCAATGTCATTCCCACATTCTGTCCGATGCTGATCCTATATATATATATATGCTTTACGAGCAGGAGAGCAACATCGGCCACGGACGCGAACGCCGTCAGCTCCAGGAGATCGGATGCATCTTTATTCGCGTCACGTGAGCTTACAAACTCATACACGGGGGAGCGCAGTTGTTTACAGCAAGAGGCTCAGGCATAGATCGCGCATGTTGCACATGATATCTGTGGTTGTTCATCGGTTCGGTTTGCCCAAGGCGTCTTGACTTTTGTGAAAGTGGTCAATGGCAATAGTCTGCCCCACCCCCTTCCCTCTGGTTCCCGAGGTAGCCGCTCCCCCGCCCCCTCCTTCCCGAGTTCCTAACAACCCACCACCTTCAGATTCGTTCGCAGTCAGATTGTATCTATGTATCGCCTCTGGGTCGCCCTCGGCACCCACTTGGCTTCTCATTAGCTCGGTGCACATTGCCTTTACAGTCAACCCGCATAGTAAGGATGAGCAACTTTCCAAGGTCACCCCTGCATCTTCCCCTTCGGCCCATCCTTGGCCACTTTCGCTGGCCGCGACCCGCTCGCAAAGTGTCGGCATGACCTTCCAAGGCCTCTGCATCCTTATCGTGCGTCAGTATTACACGGGTTCGCTGTAGCTTGCATGTCTTTAGGTTGTGTGGTTGCTTTTTCTTGTTGTCAAAATGCCCGTATTTAGCTGTCCAGCTCGCAAGTCGGTTGATGTCAGTTGACGTGTCGCCTTGCCTTTCGTTTGCTTGAAGTTGTGTTGCAGGTAGGTTTCAGCTCGTCGTTAGCTTGCGTGTTATTTGCCGCTACCCTGCCTCGCTGCAAACTTGCAGCTGGCATGTTTCTCTCGTGTTGAGATTGTTTCTCGGATCAGTATCGCGTGCCTGTAGCGTACCGCCAGCCCTCATCTGCATCGCATTCAGCTTGTCTGGCTGCACTATGAGATGGCATTCCGAAATCCGGTGCAACACGCTTGTCTATGGCGGCACTCCTCCGAGTCTAGATCTCGCCCAAGCCGCCTGCGCTCCTTGACCAGCGCCTGCACTTAGAGGTCAGAGGGTCCTACTTCTCAATCGCATCTTGAACCTGATGTGAGCTGGCAAGGCCTACTCCAGATTTCGTAATAAAAGGGAGGGGGTCTGGACCCTCCAAGACAAGCCATTTCAGACCCCCCCCCGTGGGAGAACCCTCCAAAACATCGTCCCCAGACCCCCCCAGGCCCTCCAGGATAGCCTGGAAGAGACCCCCCGAAATGAGACCCCCCTCCCTTTGTTACGAAATCTGGAGTAGCTCCAACGTCACCTCTACTTCGAGGGTCCCACTTGGTTTTCTCAAGTGTTTTTTTATCGGCTCCTGCTGTTCGCCGCTTCGGCGCCCGTGCCCGCCTGTGGGCGCCTCGTGGACACTCCGTGCGCGGGGTGGGTCTCCCGAGGACTCGCGCCGTGCTGGCGCCCGTGTCTGCTGCCCCGTGCGCCGGGGCAGCGAGGGGGTCGAGGCCTCTCGAGGGGGTCGAGGCCTCTCGAGGCGTCGAGGGGCCCCCAGGCCTCGAGGGGGAGGGGGAGGAGGAGGAGGAGGAGGAGGAGGAGGAAGAAGAGGAGGCGGAGGAGGAGGAAGAGGAGGAGGAGAGGGGAGGAGGAGGAGGAGGAGGAAGGAGGAGGAAGGAGGAGTAGGAAGGAGGGGGAGGAGTAGGAGGAGGCGGAGGAGGGAGGAGGAGGAGGAGGAGGCGGCTGGGTTGATTGGCCGAGGCGTCGCCTCGTGGGCGGCCGTGCCGGCTTGTGGGCGCGCCCCGCAGGTGACGTTACATTGCAGCACATGCACTGCATCACAAGAGCATGCAACGCACAGCTCACACCACGCAGCTTACACCGCGCAGCCTGCACAGCATCCTCCTGCTTCTCTTCTTCCTGCTCCTCCTCCTGCTCCTCCTCCTCCTCCTCTTCCTCCTCCTCCTCCTCCTCCTCCTCCTCCTTCCGTGCCTTCCTGCTCTCCTCGGAGCGCCCCTCGCACTCCTGTGCGCTGCATCTTCAGGGAGGCCCTGCCCATCGCGCAGCTTGCACGGCATCCCTTGCACGGCATGGAAGGCACGGCTCAGCGCTCACCACAGCCCACACCACGCACATTAGACAACCTATAACAGCTCACACCATGCAGCTCACACCGCGTAGCTTGCACAACAGATCTTGTACCACAGAGCTTGCGCCTGGTAGCCCACACCCTCTGGCTCGCCCCACACAGTTTACAAAACATTGCCTACACCACACAGTGTACACCATTCAACTTACACAACACAGCTTGAACCACATAGCCAACACCTCAAAGCTCACACAACACATACGATACAGCATGGCGTGAACCTCACAGCTTGCACCTCAACCTTGC